TCCTGTCGAAGAAAGCCATTTGTATTAATTTGTGGCTCTTCTGCATTCAATGAAGATATGAGTAGATACTTGAAAGTTGTAGGAATTGAAGAAGATTCCTGTTTTGTCTTTTAACAGTACATTCCTGACCTGAGGAACCTTAGGCTGAGCCTTGGATGTCCTTGTTTCTTTGCAGACATTGCACAAAATGGGCCTGCTCAGAAGACTGAGCTCCTTGGAGCAACTATTTGTTGATCCTCACTCCAGGGTGTTTTAAGGAACAGGTGCCATTCCAGAGTGGCTGGTACATGGTGTACCACCCATACCTCAGGGACTGCATGGCAATTTTAATGGAAGTCTTCAAGTGCAATTTTAAGAGGGAGATCTCCTTAAGGGGGTACTGGAAAGCATCCATGCACACAGCTCTGCTGTAACATGAGGATTGGTGACTTGCTTTGCAGTCTGTGTTATTCTGCAGTGGTGGTGTGCCCTGTTAGGTGTCCAGAGGAGAGATACAATCCTCAGGGATCCTTGCCAGGCCAAGGGGACCGCAGAGTTGGGATCACTTTGGTTCTGTCATGTGCAGGCTCATGTCAGGCAAGTCCCTTCAATCTCACTGTGCCTCAATTGCCCCATTATACAGTAATACAGAGAAGGTGGCACTGATCTCTGAAAACAGCTATTCCAACTGTATATGGAAAAAGTATCCATAAGGATGGAATGATACTTTCTGTCTAGTGAGAACTTAGGCAGGCTGAGCTCCTGCCCTGGCACAGCCTGTGGTACCTATCCTGTGCTTAACCCTTGAAATGCTACCTGGGAACACAAAGACATGTCCTAAATCTGGGAGAGCGTGGCTGGGTGGTGGCTGCTGTCTGTCAGGGAGGATGGTTATTTGCTTTCCATGTCCCCTTAGTGTTGTATCATAACCCTGGCTCATTAAATTGAACCTCTTTACAAATAAACAGCTGTTTGATGTTGTCACAGGACTCTCTCAGGTGCCTGAGGAGGTTCCCTAAGCATACAGGAACACCACCTGAGGAGGGAAAGCTGCATGGGGTGTGCTGGGGTGCTTTCCTGTGGGACAGGGAGCAGAGCTGGGGAGCCGCCTCAGGGATGGCAGCCTGGCACAGCACACAGCCTGGGCACCTGGGCCTCTTCCTCTTTTTTTCAGTCCAAAATGCTGCTGCTTTTCCTCTGAGGTATGTGCTATCCACTCTTTTATCTTTTCAGACTGGTGTGTTTAGTATCTACGCCTGGAAATACAACAGTCCTGCACACCTTGTGTTTTTCTGTTCATTCCCAGTTCATCCTGTGGTGGGGTTTTCCAGGCTGTGTCAGATGATTATTGCATTATCGTTCATGCTCCTTTTGTACCTGTGTCTAACACTACACCTTACACAAAGGAAATGTGGTTTGTTACACAAAAACCACAGCGTGTACTGAAGTAGTGGCTTGATTCACACATTTGGGAGGGAGTGTAAGTTCCCTTTGCACTGCTGAGATTTGTCTCCAGTTACCAAATGCCTGGAATTAATCAAGTGTGGCTGCAGCTTTCATGTTAACTTCCTTGGAGAAAGGGCTGACAAGAAAGCCATCTTCCTAACCCAAACTGGGGTTCTGGCTTTAAAGGCATGGAGATCCAGGGAAGTTGTCCGTGGTCTGTCCAAGGCCAGCTCTCGTCTCCAATCCATGCTGTGCTTTAGTCTCCCTAAGTCACTGTGTAGTTAAGGTGCTTCTTCACACACAGGCTGATAAAATAATGAGATGCTTTCTCCAGTTGCTCTCCCTACTTTGGTCTTAGCTAGGAATATGGAGAAAATATTTTTGTCAGCTATTAAGTATTTGAAAACCTTGCTTCTAGACCTCTAGCTTTAAATATTATGTATTTTTGAGATTTTGCTAGAACCACACCCCACCTTTTTGCAAAGGCTCAAGGTAAAAAACTTCACGCTTGCCTTGGAAAAGCGCCGGCTTTCAGCGTGAAAGCTGGGACTGTTCCTTTAAACACAACCCCAATATGTCTGGGTATTTCAGCACATATGGGCCACGATGGTTAAACCCTACCCAGCTGGTCCGGCCGTGCTGCCGCGCGGCTCCGTCTTTGTTCGTGGCTCGGAGGGAGGGTGGTGAGAGACGGAGCAAGCTGTGAGTGCTGCGGCTGCCATCCTGCAAGGGCGGGCTGCGGCCGGGCGGGAGGAGCGGGGCATGTCCCGCCCGAGGGGACAGCGGCTTTGCGAGACATTCTCCACGGGGGAGATGATGTCCTTGGAAGCAGGAGCTCCAAGGAGCCTTTAAACCGCCCGCGGGCACTTTGTTCTCTATTTTCTGCCCTTCTCTCCCTTCCCCCTCCTGCCTTTTGTTGTTTCTGAGGCTGGCTCTAACACGAGTCCCCTCATCCCAACCATCCCCCATGGGGACAGGCAGAGGATGGCGTGGGTTTCTGCAAACGCAGGGATGTGGACTGGAAAGGCTCTGGTGCAGAATATTCCTTGCCAGGGGAAGAGGAGAGGTTTCCTTCCCTTTGGAGGCCCAGAACCTCCCCGTGGTGGCAGTTTCGTGGGAATTGGTGTCGGTGCTGTTGGTGACTGGAACATCTCTGGAGCTGGAGGTGTGTGAGCTCGGCTGGGTGGCCGATTCCCAGCCAGGGCAGGGGCTCACATCCTGCCTCTCCTGCCAGGCAGGGGCGTGCTGGTGGGATGCTCCTCATCTCTGGCTGCCCCCAGGAAGCTCCTGCCACCCGTGCAGCACTGTGCAGGGCAGAGGGGCTTTGCTTCACTTCCTTTTTTCTTCCTTGTGTGCAGCCTAAATACCTTCTTAATTTCATCTCATTATTTCCTGCCTAAATAATTCCCGTTTCTCCTGGGGACCATTTTTAAACCTTTGATCTTCTCTGAAGTCTCACAGTCCTGATCACGGCCTTTCTGTTTAAATGAATCAAATGCCTTTTTGACTCATGATTTATAAATTTGCCCACAGAGGAACAGAGGCACACCTTGAAATCACCCACCATATCCGTGGCTGGAGCACAAGTACCAGAGCACCTTCCAGCCAGACCTCTCTTCCTGGCTCCTCTGCTTCCCTGCTGCATGTCACTCTCCCCCTGCCTTCCTCCACCCTCCCACCCAGCTCCTCAGCTGACAGCCGGGTTGTCTGGGCTCAGGCCCAGCCTGGAATGGCCGTCCCCGGGTCAGGAGAAGGGTGAATGTGCCGGTGGTTGATGGATGCTGTCCCCTGGGAGCGGGGCACAGCTGCTGTGCTGCACAGCCCTGGCCCCCATCTCCTGGGGCCTGCTGATGTAGAGCACAGCTAAGGGCAGGGAGAGGAGCAGCTGGGCAGGTACTGGGGTCCTGGGCACTGGCTTGGTGCTGGTCAGGGCAGTGGTGGAAAGGCTGGAAGACACTGGGTGTTGCCCACTGATGATGAGGGTAAACATGTTGCTCCATAGTGCAGCAATGCAGAAGTCAGGGAGCACTTTGTTCCTAAGTCCAGGTGATAGTCGCTGGGAGGGCTGATCACTCCTCTGAGATGAACCAGGGTTGTGGCAATGGAAAATACCCAGGAGAGGCTCCTGTGCCATGGCCAGACCTCACCTGCATCTTTGCTGTGTGGGCCCACACTTGTTGATGAGGTCAGACCTCCTCTCCAAGCCATTAGGCAAGTAGCTAATTAAGCTCTGTAATGTTCCTGGAAGGTCAGCAGGAGATGTGCCAGCGTTGCAGCATCTCCCAGAGCCTGCACTGGGGCAGGGTCTTCCCAGAGTGCCCAGGGACAGGGGGAGCTGCCCTGCTCCTCATTCTGTTGTGCTCTTAGTCCTGGTGCTGGTGGGGTGATGTGGTGCTCAATGCCCCAGGACAGAACCCAATGTTCCCTGCCTTAGCTGGGCTCAGGATAGAGGGCTCCTGGCTGGGATGTCCCAGAACTCCCAGCAGCCCTCGGCATGGCTCCAGCAAGGCTGGGCAGTGGGGAGAGAGCCTGTACAAATATTATTGTTGTTGTTATTCCCCATAAATATATGCAGGCACTTAACGACCTTGGCATGGAGCACTTCCTGGGGATTCATGACCAGTTGGTGTTAATGGTCTTTAGCTGCACCTCAGGCCATCAGCTCCTCCCAGCCCATCATTAATCCACAGGAAATGTCTCAGGCATTGATCCTCATTGCTTAATTAATAAATGCAACTTGTCTCCTGCCTGAGATTTAGAGATATTCACTGCTTCTCTCCCTGCTGCTTTGAAGGTGACTTTTTTAGCACAGGTCCCTCACGCTGGGAGGCCCTCGTGGGATTTTGTTTCCTGGCATTCATGTGGGTGTGGGCTGTGGCAGCAGGAAAGTCTTTTCTCTCCAGGGCAGGAGGGAAGGAACTGAGCCACTGGTGGGTTTGGGGTTTCTCCAGCTAATGTGGCATGGCACAAGGAGCACATCTTTCCCACCAAACCCAAAGGCTTGCTTACCTTCAGCTGCGTGCATCCAAGAGCCTGGGCAAGAAGTAGCGTGAGCCAGCATGGAAGAACGTGGCAATTCTCCAAGGCCTTAGCAGGTTCTATAATAATCGATGTTTTTTGCCCATGAGTCACAATTCATCTGTAATCTTCCTCGGGGGAGGTGGGATTTGCTATCTTTAGTGCTCACAACTGCTGCTTTCCTGGGCTGAGCATCCTGCTGAGCCCGGACTCCTGCTGCAGGGATGCTGACCTGGCAGCCGGCGCGGAGACGCGGCCGCGTTTCAATCCTGCTCCCGTTTCTCCAGCCCTCGCCACCAGCTGGCTTTGTGCAGTGGGTGCCGCAGTATAAATCATGGTAATTCCTGAGATGCTTTTCCGCGGTAAGTCTGAAATTCCCATTTTGGTTCGCTGGCTTGCTTGGCGAACTAAATTATTTTCATAGCCCCTTAAGGGCATATTGTCAGCCCAGACTTATTGCTGTTATACACCATTTCTGAAACATTAATATCTCTTCTAAATATAGTGTATTGACAAGGTATCTGGTATAGTGTAAATCCTTGGGACATTTGATCCAGATCATTAAAACTGAGTGAAGGAAGGGAGGAATAGATCAAGTTACCTTGCTGCTCTTAATTCAAACAAGCGATGAATTATTCATTCCACTATTAATTCTACAGTCCTCCTGCTTTTTATTTATTTCTCTCTTTGTTTATTTTTTTCCTCCCAGATAGACAGCTCCAAAAGGATGCTTGGGAACTGGTGAGGGGAGATTTGCCTGCTGGAGGATGGGGTGCACAGGGCTGGGCTGTCTGGCAGTGCTGGCCATGCTCTGTGGGGCTCTCGGGGATGCTCCGAGCAGAGGTAAGAGCCTGGACCCAGCTCCTGGTGGGCTGGATGGGCACCCATGGTTCCTGAGGAGGGGAGGGCCATTTGCTGTGCCACAGTGGCTCTGGGGTGTGAGTGGGTTCCAGCTCTCCTGCAGGGAGAGGGGCTGGCTCAGGACAGAGGCAAGGAGCTGGGATGTGGAGTCACTGTTGTGGCAGCAAGTGTGGGATGCTGCTGTGCTTGGGTTTCTGCTTCATGCTTACCTTACTGAGTGCAGGTAGGGGTTGTCCTGTTGTGGTGTACAAGTGCTTTGGTGAAGGGTTTGTTAGTTTCTGGAGTTGCAGTTGCCTACATAAATCTATATACACATATACATTTATATGTGAATGTGTGCATGTATGTGTATGTGGCAGGCATGCAATAAATCTCTCACCTTACCCAGATAAAAGGTCCCCAGGATGCAGGGCAGGGTTAGCAGATGACACAATAATTCAGTAATTCAGGTGATAGGGTGGCCCAAGCAATCCCCCGTCCCAAAATGGCAGCACCTTTCTCACAGAAGGGCTGAGCCAGAATTAAAACCCATCCCTGGCCCTGGTACAGGTGCTCCTGAGGCCATACCACTGCCCTGGGGTGCCTGCTCACCCCCCACTAACCACACCTGGCCTTTCCAGAACACCCCAAGGCTCCCAGCCCTTAATCCATCTATCTGTCTTCACTGTGGCTACTCACGTCTCCCACAGGCTCCTCTTGGGTATTTATTTCAACACCATTATTCCTTCAGTACCAGCCCCATATTACTTCACTGCCTATCCCCAGTAATTAGCAAGGTGATTTTAGATCTGGCCAGAAACACATTCGTGGTGCTGCATCCCACACATCCCAGGACCCCCTTGCTGGGAGGTCACTGTGCCAGTGAGCACGATGAAAAGCAATGTGCACAGGCTGACTATTGATTTGCAATATACTTGGCCCAGATTGATGGCAGCAAGTGCCCAGCCTTGTTTGGGAACCCACACATGTCTCCTGGGGGCTGTGCAGGGTCTGTATCCCTCCCAGACATGATGTATGTTCCCCATGTATCAGCCTCTTCACCCCAGCCCTAATCAGACCCAGGGGCAGGTGACAGCCGGCCCCTCTCAGCCTTATTTTATAATAACCATGTCTCAGTATAAAGATTTCATTAGGAAATCGATCCCTACATGCATAACTCATTGCTCAGCACATCAAGCCCTTCACCCCTGCTTCTCCCAGCTCGAATTCTCTGATACCACCCTTATACAGAGGGAGTGGGGTCAGTGGGAGGCACAAAGCTGAAGGGCTGGGCAGCTGGGGCACTGGCAAGCCTGGTACCACTGAGCCTTTAAAACTCACTCCCAACTTTCTTTCTCCCAGCCATAAACAGGTGGGGATGCTGTGCTGGCACTGGCAGGACAAGCTCAAGGGCACAGCTGAGCCCTGCTGTAGCCCCCACGGGGCAGCACGGGGAAAAGGGAGGGATGAAAGGTGATGGGGGCACACGTGCCCTCCAGGGAGAGTGGGTGGACAAGCCCAGTGGAGTTCTGCAGGATGCTGGTGTTCTGGTGCTGTGATGGTGGGATGGAGCTGGTGTTGGGCATCCTGTCTCCATTCTTTTAGGCTTCCCCTGGAAAGGGGACATCACACCCCGTTCTGTGTCCCCCAGGCATCAAATGTGGGGGTGTGCTTTCAGCACCCTCTGGCAATTTCTCCAGCCCCAACTTCCCAGGGCTGTATCCCTACGAGACAGAGTGCACGTGGCTCATCGTGGTGGCTGAGGGCTCCTCCATCCTGCTCTCCTTCAGTCACTTCGAGCTGGAGTACCATGACACCTGTGCCTACGACTACCTCCAGGTCTACAACGGGGCTGCCCGGGACCGGGGCAACCTCCTGGGCACCTTCTGTGGCCACAGGCCCCCGCCACCCTTCTCCTCTGCCTGGCACGTCATGGCTGTGGTCTTCCGCTCCGACCGCCACGTGGCCAAGCACGGCTTCGCCGCTGCCTACAGGAAAGGTAGCAGGGAGGTGTGGTGGTCACTGAGCATCCCCCCATCTATCCTCTCCCACTGCCCTCATCATCCTTGCCTCCTTGCAGATGCCTGTGGTGGGCAGCTGACGGGGCTCTCTGGGGAGATCACCAGCCCCCGCTACCCCGAGAGTTACCCCAACGATGCCGAGTGCCGCTGGAGCATCGGGGGGGCCGGTGGTGGTGGCCCTCTCACCCTGGTGTTTGCTGACTTCCAGATGGAGGGGGGCCAAGGCTGTGGCTTTGACTACGTGGCCCTTTTTGATGGCCCCACTGTTGCTGCCCCTGGCCTGGGACGTTACTGTGGCAGCGCCCGCCCACCCCGCACCGTCTCCTCCACCCCACACCTCCTCATTGTCTTCAAGTCGGACTTCAACATCGGTGGCAGGGGCTTCAAGGCCCATTTCTACTCAGGTGCAGGGGTCTCAGGGTGATGGGGCAATGGGAAGGATGTGGGGACAGGCACTGGGTTGGGGTGGTGATTCTGTCCCTCCCATAGCAGCAAGAGGAGATGATCATGGAGGGGATCCCTTTGGGGAGAGCCCATGAGATGATGGTGTGAAGTGTAAACCACCACACAGTGCAAACGGCATCACTGTGGCTATTCCAAGTCCTGGGTTGCCCTCTTGAGCAGGAGTCACCCTTGCTCATGCCATTCTCTGGGGATATGGGTTGCTCCTGTAGGACTTTGACTGCCTTGGGAGTTTCCATCCCCAAAAACTGCTGGCTGTCCATTGGCCAAACACAAGGCTGGGAGCAGTGAGGTGAAGGGCAGAGCATCCCTTAGCAATAAAACAAGTGATCACTCATCCACATCTAGGAGGTTCAGGTCTGCTTTTGATTTTTCCTTTCCCCTTTTTCCTTAAACAGGCGAGTGCCAGGAGGTGTTCACCACCATCAAAGGGAATTTCTCCAGCCCTCAGTACCCCTACTTCTACCCCAACAACCTCAAATGCCAGTGGAGCATCCACCTGCCCCTGGGCTACCGGGTCAAGGTCTTTTTCCTGGACATGGAGCTGGAGGGCCGGAGCAGCCTGACGGGTGGCTGTGACTATGATCACTTGTCTGCCTTTGATGGTGGCACTGAGAATGGATCCCTGCTGGGCCGGTGGTGTGGGCGGGAGAGCCTGGCACCCGTCACCTCCCGCAGCAACCGGCTGCTCCTGGTCCTCCACACCGACCGCGACATGGCCCAGAGGGGCTTCTCCATCTCCTACGTGGGAGGTAAGGTTCCATTTGGGTGCTCCTCAGTGTTGTGGTTCCATTGGGACATGCCTGAGACCATGTAATTTCCAGAAGGATCATCAGTGAAGGTTCCTGTCTGCGGGAGCAGATCCCATGGCTCCTTAGGGGTGGGGCAGAGGAAGACGTGAGTGAGGTGAGTGAGCTGCACGTTGTGTTTAGTATTCAGGAGAGGCTTTCCAGTTTCAAATTCATGTGTGTCTGCCACTGCCATGTTCCTGTTCCTCGCTCAGGATGTGAGGGAGAGAAAACCTGGGGGTTTTTGATGGGCCAAAAGCCCAGAAGCAGGTGACCAGCTCAAGCATCACAACATTGTTCCCTGCTCCCCTGGATGCTCCAGCCTTGCCAGCACATGGCTGAGCAGGCAGGCATAAACTCCTGTGTCTCCTCCTCCACTGGCAGCAGCACGAGAGGGAGGGCAGGACCCCCGGGGCACAGCATTCCCAAATCCACCTGGCCAGCCCTGCCTGGCACACTCCTGCTGCTGACCTGCCATGTCCCAGCCAGCGTGTCTGGCATGTCTGCAGCTGGTGGGAGGAGCAGTGTGTGACCTTCCTGCTCTATTTGCCAGCCTTTGCACCTCAAACGCCAGCAAATTTATGGCATTTGTTGTATTGCAGTATAATTACATCTGAGCTGACCTGTGGGGCAGGCATGATTCAGCCAGGGGCAGCCTTTCCAAAGGCTGGGGCCAGAGCAGGGCTGCTGGACTGGCAGCACAGGCACTGGGGAGGCTGGCTCTGGGTTTTATCCCTCAGCTGCAAAATCATTCTTCACTTCCAGCATAGCAGAAGGGATTTGGAGGTATGTGGCTCTTGGAGTTAGAGATGGGATAGAGTTCAGTCCTGAGCCTCTGCAGCATCTGGAGGGAGAGAGGTGGTACTGAACATTTAGTAGGGCTATAGTGTGCACTGCATGTCTGTCCCTGTCCTTGTCCTGCTGATTTCTCACTGGTTTACAGCTGTGTGCCGGGAGAAAATCTTGGTGTCACTGCTCCAGAGGGAGACAGATGGGGTGCTGCTCAAGAGTGGGGGGTGTTCCATCACAGAGAGGGGTGTGGCATCTGCAACTGCCCAAGGCTCCTGCATCCCCTGGTACACACTGCCAGATGAATGCTAGGGGAGGACAAAGGCTTGGCTGTGAAACTGAGCCTCCCTCCACAGAGCTGAGCCTGCTGGTTGTGTTTGCCCAGTGATTCCAGCATCTGCTTGTGATTAATGCCCTGAATGTCACACCCAGCTGCCAGCACTGCCAGGAGAGCGACTGCTCCTGCTGGGCACACCAGCCTCTCCCTGCCAGCAGCTTCCTCAGGAGCCCACAGAGAGGCAAAGGGACATCTCAATCTCTGCATCCACACCCACAGCCCTGCAGCCATGCAGGTATTTCCCTTTCAGGCCCACCAAAAGGCAAGGCTTGGGTGGGGCATGTGTGATTTATGGCCATTGAAATGAAAGCCTTCATTCCAGGAGAGAGGATCCACTTTCTTCTCCTCTTGATCTAATGCACTTTAGTTATTTGGTAAATCTTCTAATGGTTTTATAATGCACTAAGCGAAGCAAAGTGACACTATTTTTTTGTATTGATTTTATTGCATCTTCCCAGTTTCATAAGGCTGAGATTCAGAGGGAGCAGGAATAATTCAATAATTCATATTGCCCAAGTGGTTAGTTCTTGCTGAGCAAGGATTCACTTTAAAGAGGGGGGTATTTTTCCTCCCTGCTTCTTTCCCTGTGTGGATGCTTTCTACATCCAGAGAGGCCAAACACAGTGCCAGAAGGAGAGTGATGGAGAGGGGCTGGAGTCACCAGTGCCTTGCTCTTCGTTTTGGCATCATGAGCAGCCCAACAGCAGCTCCCTCAATACACTGCTCACCAGCTCCCCATCAAAATTAGCATTCTGAGAACAGTGGAGGGCTGCTGATGTTTGGAACTGTGCCTGGGCTGGGCCGCTCCCCAGGAGGATGCCCCAGGGCCATGGACCCAGCTCACCCTTTCAGGAGGGCCATGTGGCAGCCACAAAGCTCCCTCACTCAAGGGCGTGCATTGGGTCCCTCCAAAATATGTCTCCTCTGTTTCATCAAAGTGTCTCTTGCAGGGGTGTTGCAGGATGCAGGGGAGCTCTGTGCCCATGGCAAGCCATCCACAAAGCTCTTGTGGACTGGTCCTGGGCAGCAACTCAAATGTCCTGCTGGCTTTGCAGTGATGGAGAGTGGCAGTGACAGCAGGATGGTGTTGCCTGTAATGGCACTTATGTGTCACTTGGAGACCCTAGAAGGACCCTAGAAGGAGGATGGGGTTCAAGAGGGTTGATGGTGAGATCTCTCCCTTGGACAGAAAGCAGAGAAGCTGTGGAAGCCATCCATGTCTGTCCTTGGCATAGGACGGGGCTAAAATGCTGATATTGATTTCTTTTTGCATTCTGGAGGTAGCTTTTTTCCTGAAACCCCCGTACATGAGTCCTACATATGCACCCTGTTTTCTGTCCCAACAGTTGTGCCCATGAACGTCAGCTGCACCCGGACAGATTTCCACATCCAGATCCCTGTGCAGTCCCTGGCCCAGCTGGAGAGGAATAGGATTTATCTGGGGACCCCCTCCTGTGCAGCCCAGGTGGTTGGCAGGAACTTTAAAATACACACCAGGTTCGACACCTGTGGCACTGAATCCCAGGTTAGTGAGCAGCAAACCCTCCTGTACAGCAAGCTGTGTAAATGGTTAGCCCTGTGCTGCAGAGAGGTATTCCCAGTCCCTCTCACATTTTCCTAGTAGACCCTGGCCTGATTCCTGGCCAACCCCTCCAAACCTCTGTGAAAAGGAGCTGCACAAAGCCCTGATGAGCCATGTCCCTTGTCTTGCAGAGACGCAACAACACATCTGTCATCGTCAGCACCCTCTACATTGATTTTTCAGTGGGAGACCAGGAGGACATCCACCAGTACGAGGTGCAGTGTGAGCCAAAGAAGAAAGAAGCCTCAGTGACCCTTATTGCTGGCCCTGATCCATCCAGGCTCAGCCAGGCAGAAAACTTGGTGGATGCCCAGAAGTGGGATGGGGAAGCGATCGATGCCCATGAAATCAAGAGCCAGGACACCAGCGACATCGTCTTCATCAGCATCTGCATCCTGGCTGGGCTCCTCATGGTCATCGCAGTGGTGGGGCTGGTGCTTCTGTAGGATGCTCCTTCCAGGCTCCAGGGATTGCAGACCCAGTCTTGCCCAGGGCAGAAAGGCACCCCAAAATCCACTCTCATTCCAGGCTGAACCCTAACACAGCTGCCCAAACAGAGACACAGCTCTTAGGCCCTGAAACTGAGCCTGAACCCAACCTCCACCTTCTCTTAGTGCTTGAAAAATCTGGGCGATAGGCAGCCATTTCCCTTCCCAATTTGTTTTCCTCTGTCTCAATCTGTCCATTTGGCTCAGGAATGCAATTCTTGTGCTCCCTAACTCTTCCTGCACCTGCTTCAATTTGTTTTCCCTGTAGTGCTGCTGCTCTCAGGAAAGAAACGTTGTTTGCCGATGGCTGCAAATCTTCCTGTCAATTATTTCTAGCTGAATTCTTGGAGGTACAAACCATCCCCAAATGTAGCTATATTCCCAACAAATGTTCTCCGTGCTCCCAGCCCATGCTTGGGGGGGAACTGTGGAGCTGTGTTACAGGGATCTCCACCTGGCACACACAGATGTAGCTCATGTAGGTGCTCCCAGGTGATGTTTCTGGGTGTCTGTGGGTGATATGATGCATTTGCTGTGCCCTGGAGCTCTTTGTTTGATCTTCTCATGTTGTCTTACCTTCTCGCAGGACTCACCTGAGTGCCTCAGCCACGAGCAGCTGGAGGGGAGGAGAACAATCCTCTTCTCTGTGTTTTCCTCCTTTCCAGCATATCCAGGTATCCATGACTGTGATCTCTCTACCAGTATTGCTCCTGAAGTTTGAAAATATGAGCAAATCCTGCTACAGCTTGGGGAGTTGTTGGAGTGTGGAGGTTTTGGTAACCCTGTAAAGACAACCTTGGCTGGAGAGGCTGGGACCTCAGTGACACCAGATCTCCTCTCGTGGTCCCTGCAGAAGATGAGCTCAGCACCTGAGAGCATGAAGAGTCCTGTGATCATCTGCCCCTCTAGAAAACTGGGGATCCCCACCAAGAGCCCTGATGGATGGCTGAATGACCTCTGCCTGCCTCTTGTGCCACCCCAGCACAAAGGGCATTTCCCTTCAGCATCAAAGAGGGGGTGGCTGTCACTGATCAGCCTGTGGTCATCCCTGTGGGTCAGAGCCAGCGTGTGTCAAAGCCACATTAAATCTTGCTATGGAAGGAGGCCACCCCTCCTCCTCCAGCCTTTGTGAAACATACTGCAGTGCAGGGAGAGATTTTAAAGTATCCCAGTGTGGTCATTCAGGGGCACAGCAAACCCCTTGTGCTGTTGAATTCAGAGTCCCACTGGTGAAAGGCTGCCCTGACTGATGTCCTGCTTCCCTCTGGGACAGCTCTGTTCATCAGGGCATCAGAGGAAGCAGCAGCAAAGAAATAGGATGATGATTGAGCAGCTTTTCCTCCTGGATTGTACCAGCCCTGAGAGAGTGTCTAGGGAGGGAGGAAGGCACAGGGCTGCGCATGCCTCCTAACGAGGAGCCTTCGTTATCAGAGCCCGGATTGATTTGGCGTTTGTTGGTGCAACACATCGGCAAATGCGAGATTTCCGAGGGAAATATTTGCCAGCACTGTTAAGCTCCATTAAGGGAATGTTTTGAGAGCCTGTTGTGTGCAGAGATGGTAAACAAGGCCAGCCTCCCCCGCTGCTTGCAAAGCCTCACTGCCGGTTAATTGCTGGGTATAGAACTGTCAGCTTGAGACCATAGTTACAAGATTTGACAACTGAAAGAAACTTCAAGATATAATTAACCTTCTTGGTGGCCCAGATTTTGCTGAAACAGGTGAGCACTGCGGCTGCTTGTGCCTGGCAGGGAGCCCACAGCACCCAGCAGCATCCAGCCCTTGTCTGCAGGACAGGCACTCCTTGCCCAGCTGGAGCCTCCAGAACCCTGTGATTTGCAGGGGAAAAGGCTTTTCTGGATAGCTCTTGGTGTTGCACTCAAGTAAGGAGTTGGACCTCGTCACCCCAGGGAGGGTTTCCAGCTTTGGCTCCATTTCACAGCCACCCGAGCATCCCTGGGTGAAGTGCTCCCCTGCACACATCCCTGTGGATGCAGGACTGGTGCTGTGGGAGCAGCTTTGCTCCTGAGTCAAGGGGACCCCTAGCTGCCCCAGGTCTGCAGGGTGTTGTCCAGGGGTCATGGACAGGGTGATTAATGCAATTTGAATGGCTCCAAAAGCCCTTTACCCACTTGTTTCTGATGGCATTCACAGCTGCATCTGCCACCAGCAGTGAGCCACTTGAGCCAGTCATCTCACTTGGAGCAAGGAAAGCCTCTGGTGCTCACCAAACACCAGCCCTCCTCAGCCTCCAGTCCTCCTCCACCATGTCTCAGTCTCTCCACTAGATTTAGGCATCTGGTCTTTCCCTGTCCTGCAGGAATTTGCTCACTGGCATCCCCTGTCAAACCAGGTCTTCCCTGATGTACTGCCCTGGCTGGGGATGGAGCCCAGCAGGGGAGGAGGACTGCCCAGGTAATTTCCTGAAAAAACCCTTCTCATGCAAAAGCTGCTCAGATGAGTGGCAAACAGCTATCAAGAATCCATCACCAGCACTCTTTCCCTCACACATCAGGCCTCAGTTGCCCTCCTTAGCATTTGCCCAGTGCTTCCTGAGCAAGCAGGAGAGCAGCAGGCGCGGGAAGTGCTCCCATTGCCCATCTGATTATTTATTTAGAGCACAATGGATGGATTGAGCTGGGCTGGATGCAGCCTTCCCATTTCCTGGCTTTGCTTATAGACATGGAGTCATGTCTCTCTGAAGCAAAGGCTTGGCTGTTGTGCAGGAGGGAGAGCCTCTGTTATCCCTCTGCAAATGTCTGCCTGCAAATCCAGTGAAGAACTGTTGGAAAATTGTAGATCATAGAAAACAGGACTGCAAGAACCCTCAGGGGATCAGTTGGTTCATTCCTCTCCTTCCCTGGGGAGATTGCTCCTGCTGGAGAGAAGCTGTGCTAAAATACCTGAAAAATCTCAGCCATGCTCTCTGTGTTTTCTCTATTTACCAGGAAGGTTTTCCTGGTGTGTCGCACTGTGAGGGTGTGCTGCTGGGGGATGTGCTTTTGTGCTGCTGCACTGGACAAGAGAATGATGGTGGAAGTGCCCCAGAATGGGCACTGCTCCCTCTGCCCAGACCCTTGGCACTGGGCAGGACTGAGCATCCCACTGGGGAGCCCAGCAAGCACAGGGTGTTGTGATCCACCCCTTCCCAGGCAATTTATTCTGTTATGTTCACTGGAAGTTTTCTGTGGGGACACTCACGGTCCTCCATGGGTGGACCTTCCCCCACTGCTCTGCTCAGAGGGTTATTTGTGTCCTTTCAGTTTTTATATTCTAATCCCAGTCTGGGAATGGGATGCTTGTGATGGCCAGGAAGCCAGTGCTGGAGCTGAGCATGCTGGGGATGCTGGTGGTGTGCATCCAATCCTCAAACATTTTTGGGTAATTTAACAGGGACTGGCCCTTGGGCAAGCACAAGGGCAGTTCATGGGCTGGAGCAGGGTCAGGTTTGCTGCTCCTCAGGGTGCTTTTCTTGCATGTTGGTGTGTAAGGCCAGGAGGCCACCAGCCCCTTTTGCCATTGAGCCAGTCATGGCTCCCCAGGAGCTTGGCACGGATGGGTCAGTGGATTTGTGCTGGGAAGGATGGAGCTCATAGGTAGGTCACCCTGGCCACAGTGACACAGAGGGTGTCCCTGCCTTGGGGATCCAGGTACCTGCTGGAGACCCTGGCCATAGTGGCACAGATGAGGGAGGAGGCAGTAGTCAGGCAGCCCAGCCATCTGGGAAAACATAATGGATCAAGCATATGGACAATTAAAAATGCAATGACGGCATTTAGCAGGAGTTGTTTTCCAAGCTTATTTTAAGCCCAGTTTCCTGATCATCACAGCCCCAGGGACAGAAAGGGTCCTGCTCATGGGGATTTTGGTGTGTGGAGGCTGAGTGCTCCATGATGGGTGGGAGACTTCACAGCTGGATTTTGATTTTTTTTT